GACATTTCCATAGACAAGTTTCCTAAAATGTCTCTGTAATAAATGTTTTTTCTTGTCTGCTGTCTTGTATGTGAAGTCAAATATTATCCATGGTAAGGAGATGCAGTTGAGTAACTTTCCTTTTGGTGGAGTCTCTCTAAATTCTGATGATCTATGCTATCCATGGGAGGTGGGATAGAATGGTTAGAAGAGAGTGTTGGATGTGTGGTTTGTGAGGAGGCCCTGGTGGAGACATGGCATGTGTTTTGTTGATCCCCAGGGCTATTGCTGGCCTTCTGAAAATGAGTCAGGAGGAGTCTTATGATTTTCAATTGTGTGGTTTGGACTGAATGGGCCTAGTTTGGGTTCCATATTCCTTTGCGTCAAAAGTGACAGTCAGACATACTTTGAGGAGTCCATGTGCTGAAGAATGGTGATGCTGCCTTTGAGGTGATACTTGGATGTGTGGGTCTTTGACAGGGCTGGTAATAATTTATGGCATATATGAGATTTCCCACTTGTTCAAATAATTGGGAGGAACAGAATAACCTTAGTTGTGATGCTTGGGCTCTGAGAAACTGTGCACACAACTTTCATCTAATGATGTCTGTATGCAGAGTTTTCTTCCATGTTATGTTTGCCAGCGAGAAGAAGTCTGTGTATGCAGAGACAGGGCTGGTGCTGCAGTTCAGTGTGATTCAATTCAAAATGAATGAATGAATTGTGTCCCGTTTTGGTTGTCTTGGTATTTGGATGATGCCCGCAGCTGTGGTTCCAAGGTTTTTCTATCCCTTATTGTCCAAGGAAATGACAGCCTGGGGCCTGTGGTGTGAGCTCCTGTCTGAGGCCCCTGTGTATTGGTTTCAGTCCAGTTTGCTGGGTTGTGCATATACTGCAGTTGACCCAATATGCCATGTGAGGCCATGATTGATACTCTTCTGACATCTTCCCATTCTTGTCTGAGTTCATTTCAGTTCCTTTGGATAATTTGTTTGGGTTGGGTAGGGTTAGGTAGGGTTGGGTTGGTTGGTTTGCTTGTATTTTTGTTGAGGAGTAAAGCTGAATTTTTCTGGCAATCTTGCAAACTCCAAAACACATAATTATCCAGTAGGGAGAGTATCTCTCATCCATCCCTTGAAGCTGTACATGTAATCATATTATCGTAGAAACACAGAATCATAGAATGGTTTGTGTTGCAAAGGACCTTAAGCATCCTCTTGTTCCAGCTGCTCTGCCATGGGCAGGGACATCTTCCACCAGGGCAGGTGGCTCAGAGCCCCAGCCAGCCTGACCTTGAATATTTCATTCAACAAATACAACTTCATGAATGGATGTTTCCCCAAGGTGTTGTTTTCTCTGTGGCCAACATGGAACCAAAATTGTGGTTGGTGTTGATGGTGAAACTGAAGGCTGTGAATGCAGAGTGAGGAGGGTGAGAGCTCAGTTCTGTGCCAGGCAAATGGGGGACTCAGCATGGGTTTGGCAGAGAAATGGTTTGATTTCATGCTTGGTGCCAAAGGCAGTGCCATTGTTGTTCTGATCCTGGTGTGTCTGTCATGAAAGATAATGTCAGTCCTCCGACAGTAACATTGTGCACAGTAACTGTTCATGTTGAACCATACAGTAACTGTTCATGTTGAACCATACTTGTTGGGTGGAAGAGCTGATTAATCCTGTGTGAAAGCTCCATTATCTGTATCTCTATGCCGCATTGTGCTATAGAGTTTCTTCCACTTTCATTCAGGTCTGAGTTTCCCAGAAGGTTGCAGCTCATTTTCACAGATCAGGTAATTTTTTGAAATATGAAACAGTAACTGATGTTTTTCAGGACATCCTTACTTCAGTCACTTAAGACTGAACATTGTTTGGGTACTATGCAGATGAGGCAGTAGGGGAATCTGTTGTAATTTGTCAGAAGATTTATCTTTAGAAGAAGGCCGATCACAAGGTCTTTAAAATGATAGTTTTATAACTGTGCAAGGCGAGCAGGCCATGCAGTAGAAAGAGTTGCTGAGAGGACTCATTCTTCAAGTGACTCCCCCTATGCTGCTGTGCTGTGTAAGCCCTCAGCGCCTCACACTTGCAGATTGAGTCCTCAGTGACTTCCTGGTGCTCTCAGAGATGGATTTTAAGGTCTGCAATAGAAGCTTATTAGATTTCGCTCTGAGCATCTCTTTTGTTTGTTGTCTTCTAATGCTTCCTTGCCTTATCTCATTAATGATTTCAGGTTTTCTGGGTATTGTTTGCTTTGTTTTGTTTTCCGTTGATTTACTCAGTATTTGGGTATACATACTATTAGCAACAATGGAGCTTTGCTTAGTAACATATGATGTGCCAATGTCCCCTGCTCTTGTTGCAAAGGGAGTGGAAGGCAGGAGATATGAGAGTGACTTTGTGTTCTGTTCCTGTTGGGAGAAATAGATGTAAATATGACTTTAGTAGACTTTGCCTCTCTGTGGAACAGAGCATGTGATGAGGATGGGGAGAAGATTCCCTCAAAGCCAATGGTTTCATGAGCCATTATCAGTTGCACGACTGCTGATCTTTTAGTAAGATTGTTTATCATTTTTGTGCTCTAGAATCCTTCAGTTCCTTATCATAATGGTGGTGAGCAGACAATTGCACCTCCCTTCTGGGAGTGGCTGCAGTGCATTATCATCTCATGATGGATTTGAGCAGTGAGGAGATGGCCACGAGCAAAACCTCACAGTGGCCTGGCATGGAAAATAAAGCAGAGAGGGGAGCTCTGTGTGTGAGGTTGGAGAAGAACTGGGTCATTGCCTTGCTTGTCACATGTCACAGATAACACCAGGCTGTGCCTGATGGAGTCTAGTGGGATTTGAGTTGCTTCTGTAGAGCAAGGCAGACCTACAAAATGTTATTGCATCTGTCCATTTCCATGTGTTTCTGGCTCTTGCATTGCTTGTTGTCAAGAGCTCAGGCTCAGGGTGTCTGATCTCCTGTGGAAGGTCTCCTCTGTGCCAGCTGCCCGAGTGCAGGTGCAGTTCCCACACACACCTGGGATGTTTCCAGCTGCACAGAGGAAGGGTTTCACAAGCACTCCTGGTGTGCTCAGCCAAGAACATTTTGTCTGTGGTGTAATCATGCAGGATCATCTCTGCTGCAGCTGTCCAAGTGCAGAGTGACCACCCAGGCCAGCCAAGGTTTGCATGGAAAGAGCAGGGCCCAGAGGGAGAAGGTGTGCAGTGTCCCCCAGGCCATCACCCAGAGGAACCTGCTGGGCAATCAGCTGGAGGCTGTCAGATGGCTGAGGAACAGGCTGGAGAGTCACCTGCAGAGAGTTGCAGACAGTGGCTCCATGTCCAGGTGCAAAGCAGTGACTTGTGCTGTCCCTCCAGGGCCCTGACTGGGCCCAGTTCTGTTCAGCACCTGCATGGCCAATGGGATTGAGGCACCTTCAGGCAATTTGCAGCTGACACCGATTGGAGCTGATTGACTGCAGGGCAGAGATGGCAGCCAGGGATGGGCTGGAGAAGTGGCCCCGTGCAGCCATCATGAAATGGATCAAAGTGCAAGGTCCTGCAGCTGGGGTGGGGCAATCCCCAGTTGAAAGAGAGAGTGGGGGATGGGGAAGAGCTTTGCAGAGAAGTGCTTTGGGTCATTGTTGGGTGATGAGGTGGGCCATGAGCTGCCCATGGGCACCAGCTGCTGGAATTGTGTCCTGCACTGCATGACAAGCACTCTGCCTGGCAGGTCGAGGGAGTTCCTTCCCTCCTCTAAACTCTTTCTGTCAGTGCAGAGACTGCATGCAGATCTTTGGCCAATATCCCAAATAGACAGGCTAGAGTTCCTAGAAGGATCATGGAAGTGGTCTGGGATCTGGAACATTTCTGTTAAGGAGAAGGGCTGAAGGAGTGTAGGTCTTGCAGCATACAGAAATGATGCCTGTGTGTAGACTTATCACCTTATTTTTGCTGTTTCTGTTTGAGCTTATAAGAAAAATGGACAGAGCTCTTTTTATGAGTGCCAGTGGTCATAAGACACCATTCAAATGTCTTTAAGTAAAAGAAGGAAGGTTTTGATTGAGAGAAAACTTTCCAGTGTGGGTGGTTTGGAAATAGAAAATATTGCCAAGAAAAGTTTTGGATATACCCCAAATGTTCAAGTCCAGCATGTTCTTGGCCATGGCAGTGGTATGAATTTAATGACCTTTAAACAAAAGTTTGAATTGGAAGTGTGAAACATTGTTTTGCTCTATGAAGGACTTAGTGTTCCTTTGCGCTTTCCATTGTCAGGTGCTCAGATATGGATGAATGAAACAACTCAGATGAAGCAACTTTAATGAGTCAGGAATGAAAGAATAAACGTTATTCTGCCTTCTAGGCACAGGGGATGCTCACATTGCTTTAGGCTGATCTATATCTCATATTAAATATTTCTTAAGTAATAAATAACAATTCAAGACGTGACAGAGTTCGAAAAAGCTCTTGAAGTCTTCCCTATATTATCGGTTATTGCTGATGTAAATGGGCTGTGATGTTCTTAAGAGCAGTTAAGTTCCATTCCTTAGTGGGGTGCCATGGATATTTGCATGTGACAGTTCAATGTGACTGAAAAGAATGCATTAAAAGCGCCCGCCAGCACAAGTCATAGAAACGACTTGGAGTGGAATTAAGCAAGAGTTCCCGCTCTCGGTGTTTTTGGTCGGGGAGAGCCCCCGGGGCCGGTGCAGGCGCTGAGCCCCGCCCAAAGCCGGGCGGCCTTGAGCGCGGCCGTGCGGCGGCTGCAGTGTCGCGGCGGCGCCTCCGGGTGTCGCTGTTGGCCGCCGCCGAGCGCCGCTGGAGCCGCCGCCGCCGCAGCGTCCTGCCCCCGCAGGCTGCTCGCTCGCCCGGCGCCGGCCGCAGCGGCAGCGGCACCGGCAGCAGCAGCGGCGGCGGCGAGAGGCGGCCCGAGCGGTGTGGGTGGCTTTGAGCGGTGTCTGTTGTGGGCGGCGAGAGCGGCTGGAAGGGAGGCAGGGCAGCGGCAGGAGGCAGGAGCGCGGCGAGCGCAGCGGGCAGAGAATGGCGGTGAGGCGGCGGCAGAGGCTTGGGCCGGGCGGCGGGCGAGCGCTGCTGGGCGCGCTGCTGCTGCTGCTGTGCGTGTGGTGCCGGGCGGCGGCCGAGCGGGTCCGCTACGCCATCGCCGAGGAGCTGGGCAGAGGCTCGCTCGTGGGGCCGCTGGCGCGGGACCTGGGGCTCAGCGCGGACGAGCTGCCGGCGCGCAAGCTGCGGCTGAGCGAGGAGAAGCAATACTTCACGGTGAATGAGGAGAACGGGAACCTGTACGTGAACGAGAGGCTGGACCGGGAGGAGATGTGCGGCGAGTCGGCGACCTGCTCTGTCAGCTTCGAGGCGCTGGTGCACAACCCGCTGAACATTTTCCACGTCGAGGTGTCCATCGAGGACGTGAACGACAACTCCCCGGTGTTCAGCAAGGCTGTTCTGGACCTCGACATTGGAGAATTAATCCCTCCCGGTGCTCGGTTTCCCCTGGAGATGGCGCGAGATTCAGACGCAGGAAGCAACTCAATGCTGACATACCAACTCACAAGCAACCCATCGTTCTCACTGTCCATGAAGGAAAAGCCAGGTGGAAAAAAGCAGCCGGAATTAGTACTGGAGAGTGTGTTGGATCGGGAGAAGCAGAGCTCGATTGAGCTGGTGCTGATGGCAGTAGACGGTGGGGATCCTGCGAGGTCCGGGACTGTCCAGGTTCGCATCAACGTTACAGATGCCAACGACAACCCACCCGTGTTCACCAAAAGCGTCTACGAGGCGAGAGTGGCAGAGAATCTGCCAGTGGAGTCGGTGGTGCTGCGGGTACGGGCAACGGACGCTGACGCAGGCTCGAACGGGCGAGTCTCCTACTCGTTGGGCGGTGTCCCGGACTCCGTCAGGGCCTTGTTCATTATCGACAGTGAGAGCGGGGAAGTGAGGACAGCGGGCCCCCTCGATTTTGAGGAGAAGAATAAATACGTCTTCACCGTTGAGGCGACAGACGGCGGCGGGCTCAACGATGACTGCGAAGTGCAGATCGACATCACGGACGAGAATGACAACGCGCCCGAGATCACCATACTGTCACTCTCGAATCCTGTGCCCGAGGACGCGCCTGTCGGCACGGTGGTGGCCCTGATGAAAGTGCGGGACAGAGACTCGGGCGAGAACAGTCAGGTGACGTGCGAGCTATCGGGAGAGGCGCCGCTGTCGATCGTGGCGTCGCCGGGCGGCTCGTACAAGGTGGTGACATCAGGCGCGCTGGACCGCGAGCAGGCGTCGGAGCATCGCGTGTCGGTGGTGGCCCGGGACCGGGGCAGGCCGGCGCTGCGGAGCAGCAGGGAGCTGGTGCTGGAGGTGTCGGACGTGAACGACAACGCGCCGGTGTTCGAGGAGGCGGCGTACAGCGCGTACGTGGCGGAGAACAACGCGGCGGGCGCGCTGGTGCTGCGCGTGCAGGCGCGGGACGCGGACGCGGGCGCCAACGGGCGCGTGAGCTACTGGCTGGCGGGCGGCAGCGCGGGCGCGGCGGGCGCGGCGCCGCTGGTGTCGGTGGAGGCGCGGAGCGGCGCGCTGTACGCGCAGCGCTCCTTGGACTACGAGCAGTGCCGCGAGTTCACGGTGGCCGTGCGGGCGCAGGACGGCGGCTCGCCGGCGCGCAGCTCCACGGCCACGGTGCGCGTCTTCGTGCTGGACCGTAACGACAACGCGCCCAGGGTGCTCTGGCCCGCGGCGGCGGCCGGGCCGGGAGAGGCTGCGGGAGGGGCGGCGGCGGCGCCTTTCGAGGTGGTTCCGCGCTCGGCCGAGGCCGGCTACCTGGTGGCCAAGGTGGTGGCGGTGGACGCGGACGCGGGGCGCAACGCGTGGCTGTCGTACGAGCTGGTGCAGGCGTCGGAGCCGGCGCTGTTCCGCGTGGGGCTGCACAGCGGCGAGGTGCGCACGGCGCGCGCCGTGGGCGAGCGGGACGCGGCCAAGCAGCGGCTGGTGGCCGTGGTGAAGGACCACGGGCAGCCGGCGCTGTCGGCCACGGCCACGCTGCACGTGGTGCTGGCCGAGAGCTTGCAGGAGGCGCTGCCGGAGCTGAGCGAGCGGCCGGCGGGCGCCGAGGCGGCGGCGGCCGAGCTGCAGTTCTACCTGGTGCTGGCGCTGGCGCTGCTCTCGGCGCTCTTGGTGCTGAGCGTGGCGCTGGCCGTGGTGGCGCGGCTGCGCCGGGCCGGGCCGCCCGCCGTGCTGCGCTGCCTGGGCGCGCAGCGCTTCTCGCTGGCCGGCGCCGCCTTCCCGGCCGACTTCTGCGAGGGCACCTTGCCCTACTCCTACAACCTGTGCGTGCCGCCGCCCGCCCGCGCCGTGCCCGAGGCCGCTTGGCCGCCGCCGCCGCCTGTGCCCATCCTGTCGGCGGAGGAGCTTCTGGGCGGCGATTCCTGCGGGAAGCCGAGCCCGAACAGCAGTGACCTCGTCGTGGGAGAGCAGCCCGCCAATCCCGATGTACCCCAGGTGTGTAAATATCGCACGCTCATTGTCTGTCAGCCCTCTTCATGAGCGTGGTGGTGGCAGGAGGCTCTTTAGGTTAATTCATTGTTGCAGCGGTATTGCTCTTTCGTATTTCCATGAGGCGTTAAGTGATTATATCTCATGTTTATGTTGGTAGCAGCCTATGCGATATGGCTCTTTCTGCTTCTGAAGATGTTGTGAAACTCTGCTTTGTCTTCAACGTTAGGTTCTATAAAGTTTCTGTGGCAAATTATGCCTGGCATTCTGCTGTTGTCTTCAATGGTTTGAAGTTTAAGGAAAAACATTACTTTACCTTCTTTCATTGCTCTTTCTCGACGTAGTATACTTGAACTCGATAGATAACTCTGAAAGAAGCAGCCGTTGCTAAGCGTTTTTTCGATATTTTAGGAGTAAAGCAGGTTTGCATGCGGCTTCCTGAGTACAAAATTCATGCATCTGTTGTGCGTCGTAATATCTTTTGAAAAAATTATACCGGTTACACACCCCAGACAGGGTAATTCAGGATTTGAAAAACAAAACAAGCAAAAAACCTCAAAAAACGAAGGAGGAACCAGAAATCCTAAAGAAAGAAAACAAAGTACAAAACAAACATCAAATCCACAAAGAAACTCCACATCCTTGGTTTTTGTGTTTTAAACTCTGGTTTTAGTTTTCCATTCCCCTTTCCATATCATATAACCTGATAGTTTTCTTTCAGGCATGTTTTAGTATTTCGTTTCGTTTTGGGTTTTTTGTATGTTCTGAAATTTCCCCCCAAGCCAGAAAGGCTGGCTTTGATCACATGGGAGGTCTTTTCTGACGAGAAAGATTCTATTGTGTTTTATGGCTCATTGCTCTCTTCTTCTGAATTACTGCACAAAGGAGAACCCGGCGTAAGCGCAGCCTGTGTTGTGTAAAGGTGTGAGGAGCAATTTCAAAGTGGTGTATGAAAAATGAGGTGAAGTCAGGGTGCTTCCGAACACCCTGGGATGAGCAGCTTGAATATAATACGGCCCAAAATTTTAGTGTTGTCTTTATTCTGCGGAATGCAGGGAGAAAATATTTTGATCATTCATAATTATTTTTGAGCGTACATGGAGTTGTTTTAACCTGCCGAATGGGTGAGGGGAAAGTCCTGAAGACGGACTGGTCTAAAAGACTTAACAGTTGCTGGAAGGATATTGAGCTTCAGGGCCTAAGGAAATAATATGAGCATTATTCTGCATGCCATATTCTAAGAACATATTTTATCACATTTATTTAAGGTTTTTGGGTGGGGCAGAAATACTGCAACCCCACAAGGTGTATTAAATGTATCTAGTTAAGGGCTGGATGATCGAATAAGAAGTCGATTGTAGGAAAGCCGAGGAAGGGGGTTCCCACAGGACGGGACTCAACCTTTCGGAGGCTGCTGTCCCCTCCCCGCGAGCTGCCCGTGGGAAGGCAGGGCGGGCAGCGCTAGGTAGCGCTCGGTGCCTGCAGTACCGGGAGGAGGCTGCGGGCGCCGCTGTTGACCGAGAGGAGCGAGAGGAAGCTCGGAGCGCTACCGGCAGCCCCGCCCGCTGCGGATCGGCTCGATCACTCGTTTGCCGGATTGCAGTGCCGGCAGCCCGGCGATCTCCGGTCGTCCTCACAGTGCAGATACCTGCAAGAGGGGGGGAGAAAGAGGGTACAGCAGGGGCCGGTGAGCGGAGAGTCCTATAGGAAACCTCAGCAAGCGCGGAAACCAGATAGCAGGAAAACCAGAGCAGCAGGCGGCAGCGGGGAGCAGCCGCGGCCGAGATGTGCGCGGCGCGGAGGCGCTGGGGCCGGCGGCAGCGAGCTCTGCTCTGGGCCGTGCTGCTGGCGGCGTGGGAGGCGGCGTGGGGGCAGCTGCGCTACTCGGTGCCCGAGGAGATGCCCAAGGGCTCGTTCGTGGGCGACGTGGCCAAGGACCTGGGGCTGCACCTGCCGGAGATCCGAGACCGCGGCGTTCGCATTGTAGAAAGAGGTCGGACACAGTATATTGCCGTGCACGGGAAGACGGGACATTTAGTGACGGCAGAGAGGATCGACAGAGAGCAGCTGTGCCGGCTGGTGGAGAAATGCGTGCTGCGCTGTGAGCTGATAGTGGAGGAGGAAATGAAGTTCTATGAAATAGAAGTGGAAATCACGGACATTAACGACAACGAGCCCAGCTTCAAGGAAATCGAACTGGAGCAGAGGATGAGCGAGGCGACAGCCCCGGGGTCGCGATTTCCCCTGTCCGAGGCTCACGACCCTGACTCGGGCCGGAATTCGCTGCAGAGCTACGAGCTGAGCGGTGACGAGCACTTCTCGCTGGCCGTGCAGGCGGGCCCCGGCGGCGATCAGCGTCCCGAACTGGTGCTGGCGAAGGCGCTGGACCGGGAGGAGGCGGCGTTTCACGAGCTGGTGCTGAGGGCGATGGACGGCGGCGATCCGGCACGGACGGGCACGGCTCGGATCCGTGTGACGGTGCTGGACGCGAACGACAACGCGCCCGTGTTCAGCCAGGCGGAGTACACGGTGCGTGTGCCCGAGGACGTGCCCGTGGGCTCTGTCCTCGTCACTGTCACAGCTATGGACGCCGACGAGGGTGCGAACGGACACGTGAAATACAGTTTACGCAGAATTACAGAAGGGGCATCCGAACTTTTTCACCTTGACACAGAGACAGGAGAAATAACCCTTAAGAAGAACTTGGACTTCGAGGACATTTCCTCATTTGAATTGGAGGTGCAGGCACGGGACGACGGAGAGCTATTCGATGCAGCCAAAGTCACGGTCTCTGTGACAGACGTCAACGACAATGCCCCTCAACTGACAGTATCATCCTCATTGACTGAGATCTCTGAGGATGCGCCGTCGGGGACAGTGGTAGCCCTGCTGCACGTAAATGATCGGGACTCGGGGGCCAACGGCGAGGTGCGCTGCTCGCTCGACAAGGACATTCCGTTCCGCCTGCAGAGCTCCCACGGCAGCTACTACCGCGTGGTGACAGCGAGAGAGCTGGATCGGGAGCGGGTGTCAGAGTACAACGTGACGGTGCGGGCGGCGGACGGCGGGTCGCCGTCGCTGCAGAGCAGCGCGGTGGTGGCGCTGCGGGTGCTGGATGTGAACGACAACGCGCCGGTGTTCGCGGAGGAGCGCTACAGCGCGCGGCTGGCGGAGAACAACGCGGCGGGCGCGCTGGTGCTGACGGTGCGCGCCACGGACGCGGACTGGGGGCAGAACGCGCGCGTGCGCTACCGGCTGGCGGAGGGGCGGGTGCGGGGCGCGCCGCTGTCGTCGTACGTGTCGGTGCAGGCGGAGACGGGCGCGCTGTACGCGCTGCGCTCCTTGGACTACGAGCAGGTGCGCGAGCTGCAGCTGTGCGTGCGGGCGGAGGACGGCGGCGCGCCGGCGCTGAGCAGCAACGTGTCGGTGCGGCTGCAGATCGTGGACGAGAACGACAACGCGCCGCAGGTGCTGTACCCGCCGGCGGCCGCGGCGGCGGCGTGGTCGGGCGTGGAGCTGGCGCCGCGTTGGTCGGAGGCCGGCGCGCTGGTGGCCAAGGTGGTGGCGGTGGACGCGGACGCGGGGCAGAACGCGTGGCTGTCGTACGAGCTGGCCAAGGCGACGGAGCCGGGGCTGTTCCGCGTGGGGCCGCACAGCGGCGAGGTGCGCACGGCGCGCTCGCCGCTGGCGCGCGACGCGGCGCGCCACAGCCTGGTGGTGCTGGTGCGGGACCACGGGCGGCCGGCGCTGTCGGCCACGGCCACGCTGAGCGTGGTGCTGGCCGAGAGCGTGGCCGAGCTGCTGGCCGAGCTGGGCGGCGCGGCGCACGAGGCGGCGGCGCCGGGCGAGCCGGCCGCCAGCCTGACGCGCTGGCTCGTGCTGGCCGTGGCCGCCGTCTCGTGCCTCTTCGTGGCCTTCCTGCTGCTGCTGCTGGCGCTGCGCCTGCGCCGCTGCCACCGCCGGCAGCTGCTGCCGCCGGACGGCGGCGCCTCGCGCGGCGTGCCCGTCTCGCACTTCGTGGGCATCGACGGCGTGCGCGCCTTCCTGCGGTCCTACTCGCACGACGTGTCGCTCACGGCCGACTCGCGCAAGAGCCACCTGCGCTTCTCGGCCGCCAGCTGCTGCGACACCCTCCCGGCCCGGCCGCCGCCCGACGAGCCCGCGCCGCTGCTCGGGGACGGGGACCAGGCCGGCGCCCTCACCTCGGATCCCGCCCCTCCATCGGTGAGTTCCTCTGTACAGGTTTTCTCCAAGACGCTTTCTTGTGATGCTGCCCTGCCCTTTCCCCGCCCTGTTCTCTGGCTTGCAGAGGAGACTTTGACTAAAAGCGCGGTAAGGTTTCCTTTGGTGTCGTTCTGGAGGCTGTTGCCCATTGCTGTCATTGTGTGAACATGGGGTGGATCCTCAGCCTTCCAGTTCGTGAAGAAGGAAGGAGGGAGAAGGCTGCTGCTGGCACGCTGTTGTTTAGGTCGGCGGTTTGGGTATTGATCAGGTTCCAGGCATTGTTTCCCCTGTGTCAGGTGTCCTGTGTAGAATCTGTCTTGCTCTTCGTATTAGATCTTCTGAAGGGATGGATCACCTTATTAAGAAATACAGCTTTTTAGAAGACTCATGTGTTTTACCAAGAGCACATGTGCTTGAATAGGTAGCATGTGTCTTGAACAAAATGCTGATGGCTTTGTGTGGAACTTTTCTGCACATTTTTCTCAGCATTTATCACGTTCCATGATACATACTGGAGGTCTGCAGGAAGCGTTTGTGTAATCCATTCTTTGGTCTTTGTCTGCAACAAAGATCTTGGACCAGGCAACAAGTAGTCCTTGATGATGTCTGTCTCTCTGTTATGAGGATGAAGGATCTTCTCGAAGTTGTGATTATTTTAAAAGCCTGTGGGTGGCTGCACGTGGAGGAGGAAATGGTAGAATCGCTTTGTTTTTTTCTTGTTTTTCAAGGTAGAGCTATGTCAGATGGAGCTGATTGATCCTTGGGTAGAAACTATTTAGCATGGCAAGAGAATTGCCTGGATGGGAAGGAGAGATTCGAGGCGCAGTGGGATATACAAAGTGGGCATAATTCCGTGTGAGCAGATATTCACTGAGTCAGTGTCTCTTGGAAGACTGCTCAGCTTTTTCCTTTGAGACCTACAAAGTCTCTTCACAGAACTTCAGTGAGCAGCAAATGTATCTTCCACAGCACAAAGATGTGCAGATAGCTGTGTGAAATTGGTGCTGGGAAGAGAAATGGACTGGGGAACTGGGCCTTCACTCTCGCACCTTTTTATGATAAATGGGTGAAAGCACACCATGAATGGTGTGAAGGTTTGGAAATCTGAGTGGTGTGAGCTGTGTGTGAATGTCTGGTGAAAGACTCAAGGGAATGTTTTCCTCCATCTCCTGTCCTGTTTCTATCTGTAGCATGAAAGAATGTGGGGTTCTTCTCCCCAAAGTAATTGTTTAGAAGATCTGTATTCCAGCTGCATGGAAAACCTTGACAAGCTCTTAATAAGTATTTGTTTGTCATCATAATGGTGGCACTTTAAAGCTTAATTTTGCATTTATGACAGATGGGGTATGGGAATTGCAAGCTGTGTATTCAGTGCCTATAAACAATGTCATCAATATGTACTGTGAGTTAAATAATTCATGAGAGTGTTGTGAGCTGTTCAATTCTGCAGGTGTTAACTTTCTGTCTCATTCTTGTGATCATCTGCAAATGGTTCTTTCCTGTTTATAGGTGAAAAGACAGAGACATTTCCATAGACAAGTTTCCTAAAATGTTTGTGTAATAAATATTTTTTCTTGTCTGATGTCTTGTATGTGAAGTCAAATATTATCCATGGTAAGGAGATGCAGTTGAGTAACTTTCCTTTTGGTGGAGTCTCTCTAAATTCTGATGATCTATGCTATCCATGGGAGGTGGGATAGAAGGGTTAGAAGAGAGTGTTGGATGTGTGGTTTGTGAGGAGGCCCTGGTGGAGACATGGTCTGTGTTTTGTTGATCCCCAGGGCTATTGCTGGCCTTCTGAAAATGAGTCAGGAGGAGTTGTATGATTTTCAATTGTGTGATTTGGACTGAATGGGCCTAGTTTGGGTTCCATATTCCTCTGCGTCAAAAGTGACAGTCAGACATACTTTGAGGAGTCCATGTGCTGAAGAATGGTGATGCTGCCTTTGAGGTCATACTTGGATGTGTGGGTCTTTGACAGGGCTGGTAATAATTTATGGCATATATGAGATTTCCCACTTGTTCAAATAATTGGGAGGAACAGAATAACCTTAGTTGTGATGCTTAGCCTCTGAGAAATTTTGCACACGACTTTCATGTAATGATGTCTGTATGCACAGTTTTCTTCCATGTTATGTTTGCCAGCGAGAAGAAGTCTGTGTATGCAGAGACAGGGCTGGTGCTGGAGTTCACTGTGATTCAATTCAAAATGAATGAATGAATTGTGTCCCGTTTTGGTTGTCTTGGTATTTGGATGATGCCCGCAGCTGTGGTTCCAAGGTTTTTCTATCCCTTATTGTCCAAGGAAATGACAGCCTGGGGCCTGTGGTGTGAGCTCCTGTGTGAGGCCCCTGTGTATTGGTTTCCGTCCAGTTTTCTGGGTTGTGCGTATACTGCAGTTGACCCAATCTGCAATGTGAGGCCATGATTGATACTCTTCTGACATCTTCCCATTCTTGTCTGAGTTCATTTCAGTTCCTTTGGATAATTTGTTTGGGTTGGGTGGGGTTAGGTAGGGTTGGGTTGGTTGGTTTGCTTGTATTTTTGTTGAGGAGTAAAGCTGAATTTTTTTGGCCATCTTGTAAACTCCAAAACACATAATTATCCAGTAGGGAGAGTATCTCTCATCCATCCCTTGAAGCTGTACATGTAATCATATTATCGTAGAAACATAGAATCATAGAATGGTTTGTGTTGCAAAGGACCTTAAGGATCCTCTTGTTCCAGCTGCTCCACCATGGGCAGGGACATCTTCCAGCAGAGCAGGTGGCTCAGAGCCCCAGCCAGCCTGACCTTGAATATTTCATTCAACAAATACAACTTCATGAATGGATGTTTCCCCAAGGTGTTGCTTTCTCTGTGGCAACCATGGCACCAAAATTGTGGTTTGTGTTGATGGTGAAACTGAAGGCTGTGAATGCAGAGTGAGGAGGGTGAGAGCTCAGTTCTGTGCCAGGCAAATGGGGGACTCAGCGTGGGTTTGGCAGAGAAATGGTTTGATTTCATGCTTGGTGCCAAAGGCAGTGCCATTGTTGTTCTGATCCTGGTGTGTCTGTCATGAAAGATAATGTCAGTCCTCCGACAGTAACATTGTGCACAGTAACTGTTCATGTTGAACCATACAGTAACTGTTCATGTTGAACCATACTTGTTGGGTGGAAGAGCTGATTAATCCTGTGTGAAAGCTCCATTATCTGTATCTCTATACTGCATTGTGCTATAGAGTTTCTTCCACTTTCATTCAGGCCTGAGTTTCCCAGAAGGTTGCAGCTCATTTTCACAGATCAGGTAATTTTTTGAAATATGAAACAGTAACTGATGTTTTTCAGGACATCCTTACTTCAGTCACTTAAGACTGAACATTGTTTGGGTACTATGCAGATGAGGCAGTAGGGTAATCTGTTGTAATTTGTCAGAAGATTTATCTTTAGAAGAAGGCCGATCACAAGGTCTTTAAAATGATAGTTTTATAACTGTGCAAGGCGAGCAGGCCATGCAGTAGAAAGAGTTGCTGAGAGGACTCATTCTTCTACTGACTCCCCCTATCCTGCTGTGCTGTGTAAGCCCTCAGGGCCTCACACTTGCAGATTGAGTCCTCAGTGACTTCCTGGTGCTCTCAGAGATGGATTTTAAGGTCTGCAATAGAAGCTTAGAAGATTTCGCTGTGAGCATCTCCTTTTTTTGTTGTCTTCTAATGCTTCCTTGCCTTATCTCATTAATGATTTCAGGTTTTCTGGGTATTGTTTGCTTTGTTTCATTTCCCTTGATTTACTCAGTATTTGGGTATACATACTATTATCAACAATGGAGCTTTGCTTAGTAACATATGATGTGCCAATGTCCCCTGCTCTTGTTGCAAAGGGAGTGGAAGGCAGGAGATATGAGAGTGACTTTGTGTTCTGTTCCTGTTGGGAGAAATAGATGTAAATATGACTTTAGTAGACTTTGCCTCTCTGTGGAACAGAGCATGTGATGAGGATGGGGAGAAGATTCCCTCAAAGCCAATGGTTTGAGCTTTGAGGGAATGAGCCATTCTCAGTTGCACGACTGCTGATCTTTTAGTAAGATTGTTTATCATTTTTGTGCTCTAGAATCCTTGAGTTCCTTATCATAATGGTGGTGAGCAGACAATTGCACCTCCCTTCTGGGAGTGGCTGCAGTGCATTATCATCTCATGATGGATTTGAGCAGTGAGGAGATGGCCACGAGCAAAACCTCACAGTGGCCTGGCATGGAAAATAAAGCAGAGAGGGGAGCTCTGTGTGTGAGGCTGGAGAAGAACTGGGTCATTGCCTTGCATGTCACATGTCACAGATAACACCAGGCTGTGCCTGATGGAGTCCAGTGGGATTTGAGTTGCTTCTGTAGAGCAAGGCAGACCTACAAAATGTTATTGCATCTGTCCATTTCCATGTGTTTCTGGCTGTTGCATTGCTTGTTGTCAAGAGCTCAGGCTCAGGGTGTCGGATCTCATGTGGAAGGTCTCCTCTGTGCCAGTTGCCCGAGTGCAGGTGCAGTTCCCACACACAGCTGGGATGTTTCCAGCTGCACAGAGGAAGGGTTTCACAAGCACTCCTGTTGTGCTCAGCCAGGAACATTTTGTCTGTGGTGTAATCACGCAGGATCATCTCTGCTGCAGCTGTCCAAGTGCAGAGTGACCACCCAGCCCAGCCAAGGTTTGCATGGACAGAGCAGGGCCCAGTGGGAGAAGGTGTGCAGTGTCCCCCAGGCCATCACCCAGAGGAACCTGCTGGGCAATCAGCTGGAGGCTGTCAGATGGCTGAGGAACAGGCTGGAGAGTCACCTGCAGAGAGTTGCAGACAGTGGCTCCATGTCCAGGTGCAAAGCAGTGACTTGTGCTGTCCCTCCAGGGCCCTGACTGGGCCCAGTTCTGTTCAGCACCTGCATGGCCAATGGGATTGAGGCACCTTCAGGCAATTTGCAGCTGACACCGATTGGAGCTGATTGACTGCAGGGCAGAGATGGCAGCCAGGGATGGGCTGGAGAAGTGGCCCCGTGCAGCCATCATGAAATGGATCAAAGTGCAAGGTCCTGCAGCTGGGGTGGGACAATCCCCAGTTTACAGAGAGAGTGGGGGATATGGAAGAGCTTTGCAGAGAAGTGGTTTGGGTTATTGGTGGGTGATGAGGTGGGGCATGAGCTGCCCATGGGCACCTGCTGCTGGAATTGTGTCCTGCACTGCATGACAAGCACTCTGCCTGGCAGGTCGAGGGAGTTCCTTCCCTCCTCTAAACTCTTTTTGTCAGTGCAGAGACTGCATGGAGATCTTTGGCCAATATCCCAAATAGACAGGTTACAGTTCCTAGAAGGATCATGGGAGTGGTCTGGTATCTGGAACATTTCTGTTATGCAGAAGGGCTGAAGGAGTGTTGGTCTTGCAGCATAGAGAAATGAGGCCTGTGTGTAGACTTATCACTGTATTTTTGCTGTTTCTGTTTGAGCTTATAAGAAAAATGGACAGAGCTCTTTTTATGAGTGCCAGTGGTCATAAGACACCATTCAAATATCTTTCAGTAAAAGAAATAAGGTTTTGATTGAGAGAAAACTTTCCGGTGTGGGTGGTTTGGAAATAGAAAATATTGCCAAGAAAAGTTTTGGGTATACTCCAAATGTTCAACTCTAGCATGTTCTTGCCCATGGCAGTGGTATGAATTTAATGACCTTTAAACAAAAGTTTAAATTGGAAGTTGGAAACATTGTTTTGCTCTATGAAGGACTTAGTGTTCCTTTGCGCTTTCCATTGTCAGGTGCTCAGATATGGATGAATGAAACAACTCAGATGAAGCAACTTTAATGAGTCAGGAACGAAAGAGTAAACGTTATTCTGCCTTCTTGGCACAGGGGATGCTCACATTGCTTTAGGCTTATCTATATCTCATATTAAATATTTCTCAAGTAATGAATGACAATTCAAGACGTGACAGAGTTCAAAAAAGCTCTTGAAGTCTTCCCTATGTTATCGGTTATTGCTGATGTAAATGGGCTGTGATGTTATTAAAAGCAGCTTAGTTCCATTCCTTAGTGGGGTGCCGTGGATATTTGCATGTGACTGTTCACTGTGACTGAAAAGAATGCATTAAAAGCGCCCGCCAGCACAAGTCATAGAAACGCCGTGGAGTGGAATAAAGCAGTAGCTCCCGCTCTCGGTGTTTTTGGTCGGGGAGAGCCCCCGGGGCCGGTGCAGGCGCTGAGCCCCGCCCAAAGCCGGGCGGCCTTGAGCGCGGCCGTGCGGCGGCTGCAGTGTCGCGGCGGCGCCTCCGGGTGTCGCTGTTGGCCGCCGCCGAGCGCCGCTGGAGCCGCCGCCGCCGCAGCGTCCTGCCCCCGCAGGCTGCTCGCTCGCCCGGCGCCGGCCGCAGCGGCACCGACAGCAGCGGCGGCGAGAGGCGGCCCGAGCGGTGTGGGTGCCTTTGAGCGGTGTCTGTTGTGGGCGGCGAGAGCGGCCGGAAGGGAGGCAGGGCAGCGGCAGGAGGCAGGAGCGCAGCGGGCAGAGAATGGCGGTGAGGCGGCGGCAGAGGCTTGGGCCGGGCGGCGGGCGAGCGCTGCTGGGCGCGCTGCTGCTGCTGCTGTGCGTGTGGTGCCGGGCGGCGGCCGAGCGGGTCCGCTACGCCATCGCCGAGGAGCTGGGCAGAGGCTCGCTCGTGGGGCCGCTGGCGCGGGACCTGGGGCTCAGCGCGGACGAGCTGCCGGCGCGCAAGCTGCAGGTGGCGTCTGGCGGCAAGAAGCATCTGAAATACTTCAGGGTGAATGAGGAGAACGGGAACCTGTACGTGAACGAGAGGCTGGACCGGGAGGAGATGTGCGGCGAGTCGGCGACCTGCTCTGTCATCTTCGAGGCGCTGGTGCACAACCCGCTGAACGTTTTCCAAGTAGAGGTGTCCATCGAGGACGTGAATGATAACTCCCCGACCTTCAGCAATGCTGCTCTGGAACTTGACGTAGGGGAATGGACGCTTCCTGGTGCTCGTTTTCCGCTGGAGATGGCCCAAGATGCTGACTCAGGAAGCAATTCGCTGCTGACTTACCAGCTCACCAGCAACCCATCTTTCTCTCTGGTCATGAAGGAGAGCCCTGACGGAAGCAATCAGCCGGAATTAGTGCTGGACAGAGCGTTGGACAGGGAGAAGGAAAGCTCTTTTGAGCTGATGCTAGCGGCGGCGGATGCCGGGGATCCAGTTAGATCCGGAATTATCAGGATTCGGATCAATGTGACAGATGCCAACGACAATCCACCCGTATTCGGGCAGGACCAGTACCGTGCGAAATTGCGCGAAGACGCAGCCCCGGGGTCGAGAGTGTTAAACGTCTCTGCCTCCGACGCTGATATCGGCAACAATGCTCGCATCACTTACGGCTTTGGGAAAATGCCTGCCAAGGTACTTCAGAAGTTCATGATGGACACGGAAAGCGGAATGATCACGCTAAAAGAGGCTTTGGACTTCGAGGACACAAGAGGCTACACATTACTGGTGGAGGCGAGGGATGGTGGAGGTCTGGTGGCACAGTGCAAGGTGGTGGTGGAGGTGCTAGACGTGAACGACAACGCGCCAGAGATCACGACTCTGTCACTGTCGAGCCCGGTGCCCGAGGACACGCCAGCGGGGACCGTGGTGGCCGTGCTGAACGTAAACGACCCGGATTCCGGCGAGAACGGTCAGGTGACGTGCGAGCTATCGGGAGAGGCGCCGCTGTCGATCGTGACGTCCTCGGGCAGCTCGTACAAGGTGGTGACATCGGGCGCGCTGGACCGCGAGCAGGCGTCGGAGCATCGCGTGACGGTGGTGGCCCGGGACCGGGGCAGGCCGGCGCTGCGGAGCAGCAGGGAGCTGGTGCTGGAGGTGTCGGACGTGAACGACAACGCGCCGGTGTTCGAGGAGGCGGCGTACAGCGCGTACGTGGCGGAGAACAACGCGGCGGGCGCGCTGGTGCTGCGCGTGCAGGCGCGGGACGCGGACGCGGGCGCCAACGGGCGCGTGAGCTACTGGCTGGCGGGCGGCAGCGCGGGCGCTGCGGGCGCGGCGCCGCTGGTGTCGGTGGAGGCGCGGAGCGGCGCGCTGTACGCGCAGCGCTCCTTGGACTACGAGCAGTGCCGCGAGTTCACGGTGGCCGTGCGGGCGCAGGACGGCGGCTCGCCGGCGCGCAGCTCCACGGCCACGGTGCGCGTCTTCGTGCTGGACCGCAACGACAACGCGCCCAGGGTGCTCTGGCCCGCGCCGGCGGCGGCGGCGGGAGAGGCTGCGGGAGGGGCGGCGGCGGCGCCTTTCGAGGTGGTTCCGCGCTCGGCCGAGGCCGGCTACCTGGTGGCCAAGGTGGTGGCGGTGGACGCGGACGCGGGGCGCAACGCGTGGCTGTCGTACGAGCTGGTGCAGGCGTCGGAGCCGGCGCTGTTCCGCGTGGGGCTGCACAGCGGCGAGGTGCGCACGGCGCGCGCCGTGGGCGAGCGGGACGCGGCCAAGCAGCGGCTGGTGGCCGTGGTGAAGGACCACGGGCAGCCGGCGCTGTCGGCCACGGCCACGCTGCACGTGGTGCTGGCCGAGAGCTTGCAGGAGGCGCTGCCGGAGCTGAGCGAGCGGCCGGCGGGCGCCGAGGCGGCGGCGGCGGCGGCCGAGCTGCAGTTCTACCTGGTGCTGGCGCTGGCGCTGCTCTCGGCGCTCTTGGTGCTGAGCGTGGCGCTGGCCGTGGTGGCGCGGCTGCGCCGGACCGGGCCGCCCGCCGTGCTGCGCTGCCTGGGCGCGCAACGCTTCTCGCTGGCCGGCGCCGCCTTCCCGGCCGACTTCTGCGAGGGCACCTTGCCCTACTCCTACAACCTGTGCGTGCCGCCGCCCGCCCGCGCCGTGCCCGAGGCCGCTTGGCCGCCGCCGCCGCCGGTGCCCATCCTGTCGGCGGAGGAGCTTCTGGGCGGCGATTCATGCGGGAAGCCGAGCATGAACAGCAACGACCTCGTCGCGGGAGAGCAGCCCGCCGAGCCCGATGCACCTCAGGTCTGTAATGCCTGAGCTTCTTCTCTTTTTAAAGTTCCCGCAAAGTCATGTTTTTTCCCCGCGTGGTTTTTCCTGGTGTCAATGTGTATTCGTCGTGTGTATTCTCATGTAGCGGCGGAAGGTTTTCATTTTCCTTCGGTAATAGCTTCAGATGACAGGTTTTTATGATAACTCTCCTTTAGGCCAATTTTCGCGTTTTTCAGTGTTTCTTCTTGTTTCTCGGAGTCATGTTTAATTGAGTTGCACAGTCCTCTCTCCGTGATGAACTGAATTTATCAAAGGGCTGTCCCACGTTCAAGCGGAGCAGGAAGCCCTTGGTTCTTCCTTGGTCACAGGTTCAGCTTTAGGCTCGAAGTTTTGTCTTCAGCACTCGAGCTCTATAAATTAGAATGTGTTATCAACATTGAAAGGAGATTCGTAGTGTGTGGAACGAGAGTGGCTGATTCTGCCTGACGGGGTCGAGTAAAAAAAAAGGAGAGCACTGACATTTGCTGTTGGAGATATTTCTTTCCTGACTGATTTGTTCAGAAAGGTGTGCTTGGAACTCGTGTATAGCTGTAGCCAAACCCGTTCGTTATAATTTTTTTTCCGATTAGATTTATTAAGAAAATGAATGTAGAACGTTCCTTTAAGTCTTTTTTCTAAGTGATAGAAGAGATTGTCGCCGGTTTGGGGGTAATGCAGTACCGAGTCTAGATGGCTTCGTTTATGTGTCCTGGCTGGCAGTTCACTCGGTTTTACTCATCATGATCTTTATTTTTTACACTGGTGAGAGTGCTGAAAGATTTCTGTTTTAGAGATTTTTATTTTTCTGTCGTCTTCTCACAATGATGTTGGGGGGGGGTTTAGTTGATCTCAAATATATCGAGAACAGAAAATTTTTAGAATTTTTTTAACTAGGATAGAAGTCTGAGATTTGAGGCGTTCCCGTATCAGGGAGATTGGCCAGAGGGGGGTTTAAGTACTGGAGTCAAGCCCATTTGAGGAATGATTAGTGGTCAGCACAGTTTCAAGACTTGTACTTTTGTTCTACGGTCCCATAATTATTTTCTTGAACACATAGCCTACCGTCATTAAGAGATACTTAGACGAATAGTTTACTAACGACCTTTACTGCTTCAGATATTGATTTCGGAGAAAAGGGCAACTACAGTGGTTTGATTAAATGTAAATCTGTATAAATTATGGAAATACTAGGTGCATCCAGTAGGAAGGGATGTCAAATATTTCAAGTCCTGAAACTTTACTTTGAGAGTTTCAGCTGCATCTTTATTTGTACCCGTCATTAAATCCTGTAACAATTGGCCCCCTGACATCAAGAACCATGCAATTGCTCTCGTCCCGCTTCTGTTAATAAACCTGAGAGCTCTGTTTCTTCGGGATATGCTATCTTCCCTTTTTCTCTATGGGAGCCTGTTGTTGAAGGTGCTTTTGAACAAAAAGGATAAAATAATAAATAGCTACAGGGTAAAATATACATTTTGGTTTACGTATAATGGCATTAGAAAGTAATGAGTTTCCCGTGCGATTAAAGAACCACACCCGCGGAATGCCTCTGCCTTCTCCCGATGGTGATACCCTGGAGGATGAAAGCAGAGATGGGCTGGAGAAATGCGGAGGCAGGAGATCGGCGCTGGACGAAAAGCGACATCTCGGTGGCGACCGTGCCCTGTATGGAGCGAGGCCGGGCGGGCAGCGCTGGGCAGCGCTCGGTGTCTGCAGTGCCGGGAGGAGGCTGCGGGCGCCGCTGTTGACCGAGAGGAGCGAGAGGAAGCTCGGAGCGCTGCCGGCAGCCCCGCCCGCTGCGAATCGGCTCACTCGGTTGCCGCTCTCTGCCCGAACCTGCGGTCCCCGATCGTCCCCGCGGTGCTGGTCCATTCTGGAGCCAGGCGGAGGCACCGGCGGCAGCGCTCGGTGCAGGAGCTGAGAGCATTGAGTGGCAGCGGGATTGGATCGGCGGTGCTGCGGTGCCGGCGGTGCCGCTGTGGAGATGTGCGCGGCGGGGAGGCGCTGGGGCCGGCGGCAGCGAGCTCTGCTCTGGGCCGTGCTGCTGGCGGCGTGGGAGGCGGCGTGGGGGCAGCTGCGCTACTCGGTGCCCGAGGAGATGCCCAAGGGCTCGTTCGTGGGCGACGTGGCCAAGGACCTGGGGCTGCAGCTGCTGGAGCTGGGCGACCGCGGGTTTCAAATTGTCTCGGAAGGCAGGACGCAGTATTTCGCTTTGCACGGGAAGACGGGACATTTAGTGACGGCGGAGAGGATCGACAGAGAGCAGCTGTGCCGGCTGGTGGAGAAATGCGTGCTGCGCTGTGAGCTGATAGTGGAAGGGGAAATGAAGTTTTATGAAATAGAAGTGGAGATCACGGATATTAACGAGAACGCGCCCACCTTCAGAGAAGCAGAAACAGAGCTGAGAGTGATCGAAACGACAGCCCC